ACTCTAAATTCTTTGTATTGGTTTTTACTGGGCAACTAGAATCAAATTTCTACTCGCTATCCAGTCATTCTAATTTTACCAGAATATCTCCATTTTAAGTTAATTTCTGTAATAAGACCAGACTATAAATGCCCCGTCGATACCACAAAAAGTATGCACGGAAACAGTCAAAGTTCATCTCTCGGTAATTGGCTTCTCGAAATACTGTATGTGGAACTATCCAGTGATCATTAGTTCTGATAGGGTTCAGTAAGACTACCATGCATAAATGTCAGGTGAAGCTCAGGTAATGTTCATAACTACAATTATACATCTGCTTGTGTTTGATTAGTACATCCAAAAATGTTCCAGACACTAGAAGGACAAATATTCAATGACCTGTACTCTACTAAACAAATTTTAATCTGGAAGGTCACATGCCCTACCAAATCCAAAAATAATGGACCTATTAAAAAAAAGTTAGTTATAAAACACGAATATAAAAAGAGTATAACTTAATGTTATACTTCTGGCCACAGACCAGGGCCAGATTCAGGAGTGGGCAAAGTGGGCAGCTGCCCAGGGGCCTCCACATATTACAATATTTTATTTATTTGTTTATTCATTTGGATTATCTTTATTTTCATTCTTTAAAATTCATGTTTATCTATTCTATCACGTAAAACTATGTTCAGCAAGAAGCGTGATAGAAATTAGGCAAGCTACTCCTTGAAAATCATGAATACCTGGTTTTCCTATGAGCCATATATTTTTAATATAACTGCGTATAGCTTCAAAATTCTCCAAAGAAGTGTTCAAATTTCAACATTTTCTCGGGGGGCTTACAGCACCCCCTGGAACTCCCAGATGTTTAGGCTCGCTTCACTCGCCACCCCACCCTCTTGGGTGTCAAGTGCCTTTGGAAAAATAACGCAAAAATAGCGTGGGGTACATTAAGTTGAAGAACTAAGTAAAAAGGATAAGTAATTTTTTTACTGTACACATGAAATCAAAACTAAATAATTGAGAGTAAAGTGAAATGATAGATTAGCTAAACTTAATGACAGGAAATCTACTGACTGGTGTTTAAATACTAATTAGTGTACTATGACTATAATACTTGAGAAACACTAAATGTACAAACTACTGTACCCAAAATACAGAACTCAATCTACACACAGTACAGTATACTGATCTATGTTATGTTTGGACATGATTCCATCAACTGGTGTATCGATTACTGAACGATATTTTGATAATCAAGTTCAACAAAAGTAAGTAACAAATGTTCACTTTGAAACTGTGTTAATTATTCTAGCATGTACGAGTTTTTTTTTCCACTTGTGTAGAAAGCATTCTGAGGCAATTTATGCAAGTAATATGAAATAACTATCTATTTGTTGGTGAACATTATTATGCTCTAAATTAAAACTACCATAGTTAATTTTTATCAAGTTCAAACTTCAATCTTTCAAAACCACATCAGTACCTCTGAAGATTATACTGAACCAGAAGAAACTACCTTCAGACTAGTTATTACAAAACTACAACTTGCTCACAGTGGTAATGACAGCATTAAACACTGAGTAATGTACCCATTACTGTGCTGTAATAAAGGACTGAATGCATAATACGGGGTTTCAGCAAAATTAACAACCCAACATTCTACAGATCTATATTCCACAATACATTAAACAATTATGAATTTTAGCTTCCTTAGTACAGTAATATTTACACTCAAAACCTTTGTGTGGCAGAGAAAGGAAACTTAGTATGAAACTTAGGCATTCATAATGTTAGATATAAAATTGGTTTTAGGATTAAATTCAAGTTAATCTGAGCAACACTACATCCTAAAATGTTCTAACAGGAAATATTCATCTGGTGCCAAATGATGATATGGGATTGGTTGGTTTTATTTGAAGGAGGGCAAGTTGAAGAAATATTAAAATACTGTAGTTTTTTCCCAGCTCAAATACTACTCTGGTACAATATGACACAACCAACCGACACAAAATTAACACTGACAGACAGGCAGCCATAGTAATGTTTTTAAGCTGCAGGATCACGAAGACATAAATTTCATGTACCATTGTCTTAGGAATTCTATTTTGTAATACAACCATTTTAATCTAAAATGGATGGTGCCCTGCTGAAAATTAACACAAAATACCTTAATTATACTGTAATAAATTGATATGTCGTGCTTTTGGTGGGTGGGGGGTAGGAATGGCCCGATCCAATTCAAATAAAATAATTACAGTACCTTATACAGTTCGAGTTCAATCATGAAGCATTAATTATTCTTGTCCTTCAAACAAATATAATACTGTAGATACTCTTCTCTAACCCCATGTGCACGATGTCCTCTCTGTGCTGAATAAAATCGACTGGCATTACCCAAATAAAATATTTTCAAGTGGGGTCCTGGTAGTGAATGAGTTAAAAAAAAAAAAGAGGTACCAGTGTTGGAGCACCATGATGCAGACTGAAGAGAAAAATGTGCCTGGTCAACTATACTTATGTAGAGAGAAAATGCTTATGCACAAAAGGGTGCCTGAACTTTATATGAGTGATCAAGGTGAGAGAGGAGGAACAACACATTAGTGAAAGCTTCAACATGTTGACTGACTGAATTGCAAACACTCCAAGAACAATCTAAAGAATGTAAATTGAATTCTTAATTAAATTTAGGTTCATCTTTTTGTTTACCTTTTCCTGTTCATCCTCTGCCATCAAAGCATGAAAAATAACTCCACATTTCTCAACAAACTTAAGAGTTGTCAGATACAATTTATGGATTTTCTTAAAATGTCCTGACAGTTTTGCATTACAAAGGCCAAATCAATGCTAACACTACTATCTACACACAATTTCTAAAACTGTTCCATATTGGGTAATAAAAACTGAAATGAACATTAAAAAAATCCTGTAAAATATTTCTTTTTCATTATATTTTTTTATAAAATAGTGCTAATTGGTGGGATCATGAAGACAGTAAGACCACACAAAGAGACTTATAAATATTTAAGTGAATAATTTAAACTTGCAATTAAACTGATTTTGTGACCATCTCGTAGATCTGGCTAGTTTAATCACAATGTCTTGGGAGTATATCATGTACTACTTGCAAACAAAATACAAATGAAATTTTTGTTTTTCTTCAACTTGTTTAAAGTATTTTATAAAACAAAATGAAAATGGGAAATGTATACATACAGTATACTGTGTAAGATTTACAAGAAGGAAAATTTAATGTCAGTAATTAGTGAAGGAAGACAAACCAAAGTTTTACGTACACCCATTACGGTTCAAAACCTACAACAAAGTCTGAGTTTACCAAACATGCTGCCTCTAACTTTGACCTCATTAAATTGAAGTTGATTAAAAAAGATTTAACGTACCTATCAATATACGAGTGCTTTCTAAGCAAGACTCCTGAAAGCAAACTATATTTCTGCATGGACTGATCTGCTTGAAGCTGATGATCTAAACCATCAGAAGAATACCCGAGTTAGTCGATTACTGTACTTGAGGTAGTGTTACATCACCAGAAACTATGGAGAGAGTTTAGCCTATGAGCTGCATATACCACCAATGACAATGTTGGAAACTAGGCTCTTGTTGAGGGTAAGCAGCCTCAAAGAGAATCTGCCATTCTGTGCTGTTGCTTAAGTATCCTTTGACTGTCTTACCTATGGTCAATGTAAATGTCACAGTTTTGGACCCACTGGCTGTGGTAGAACTCGGATCCTCACCTCCACACACCTTTCAAATAGTTCAACTTCTGCCACCATGAAGTTCATTCTGCTTAAGACTTCACACATTTGCTTGCCAAAATGGGTGCACACTAAAATTGAATTAAAGTCACATAGTGACACAATCTATAATGAAAACATAAAACTTGCTTATTTTTGTATGATAATTCACCCGTTTTTATTTTAAAGTTAAAATCTACCACCAACGCTAGGCGTACTCCAACCAGCCTATTAGATTTTCATCTCCATACGTGCTTGAACAGCACCAAACTGCATGCTAAAATATGGTATATATGTTATCAACATAACAAGATTACAATACTTGTTTCTTAACTCTAAGAGTGAGGTAGTCCTGATAAGTTATCAGGTTGTGGAAAATTCCTGAGAGGGTCATTGGCATGGTCAAGGTTGCTTGCTGGCACACACTAGAGGTGTCCCTAACATACTGCTGGTTGAATCTTTCTTAAAATTATATTACACATTTTTCAAGTACACAATATTTCTGGCAATTCCAAATTTCCATTAAACTGTTATTTACTTTGGCATTTTATGTACATGAAATTCTAAAACCTATAAAAATGAAATGAATCATTGGTCTGTAACATTAAAAAACTTCTTTTTTACAATGGAAATGATATTTCAACAATTTTGGATTATGCAACCTCCACACACTTACCAGCAACACCTTGACCTAATGCTCATGTGGCCCTAAATGAGCTGCAAATCTGTATGCCTACAAGCATACACATATGTACACACATACAGATGTATAGTCCCTTGATGAGTGGTCTTTGTTGCACATGTGTGGAATGACATATCAAAGCCAAACATAGAATTGGATCCCTGAGTTAACCACTTTGAGATATATATTAGTCTAAGACCACAAGAAATATTGTGGTAAGGAACAAAGAGGTAATCTATTGAGAGCACCACATTAAGTCCAACTACAGTATCAAGCCATCTGTCCTTTAAAATGGCTAGAGAATTCATCCTTTCATCCACCCATCTAATCTCTCTAACTAGAGGGCATCATCTTCCTGAGCTCACCAAATAAAACTGTGAATGCATATATACAAAAGTTTGAAGCCTCTGACAATAAAAGTATACCCTGTATCATTCTCCAACAACAAGTGAACTATCATGGCGAGTGGAAACGCACCAACATACCTGTAAAATTTGTACGATGTTTCATCACTTTGTACTTTGTACTTGGTATGCAAGACACTTATGGCGAGAGAAGAGCATTCCTCGCTAAAGCTCACGTAGACTGGAGCATATCAAATATAAAACATTCACAAGTATACCAGCCTGGGTCCTTCAGAACACCTGTACCCGGTTGTTACCAAAGTCCACCACAATGATGTAGCCATCTGGCGATATACAAATTCCACTGGGACGGTCGAGCTGGCCTGGCGCAGATCCAGGCATTCCAAACTTGCACATGAAACTGCCATTGGGGTGAAATATTTGGATGCGGTGATTTCGAGAATCTGCTACTACTATGTGTCCCTCCTGGTCAACAGCTACACCTTGTGGTCTCAAAAACTGTCCTGTTCCTGTGCCTTCATTTCCAAGAAACCTCGCTGACTGAAAATCTGGATGGATTACAAGTAGCCGATGGTTATTAAAATCTGTGACAACAATATGACCCTCATGGTTGAAGCAAACACCACGTGGTGAATCAAAGTGTTTCCACAGTGCACCTTCAAACCCATATTTGTTCAAGAAGGTGCCATCATGTCGGAAGAGTTGGATTCTATGATTTCGAGTGTCGGAAACCACAATATGACCTTCTGGATTGGTTGCAACATCCCAGGGATAGTTGAACTGCCCATTTTTGCTTCCCTTCTCTCCAAACTTGAATAGGAAGTTTCCATCAAATGTAAACACTTGGATGCGGTGATTGTCCTTATCAGCCACAATAATTCTCCCCATGTAATCTGTTGCCACACCTGCAGGTCTGTCAAACTGTCCTGGCCTTGATCCAGGCTGTCCAAAACAGTGGTGAAAGGTGCCATCTGGACTGAATACTTGTATACGGTTGTTGCTACGGTCAGCAATGATGATAAAGCCATCTTTATCGGCACAGACTCCCCATGGGCGGCATAACTGACCATCGCCTTCTCCTTCGCCACCTATGGTTAGCAGTACAGGACCCACACTGGAATAAGTTCGTCCAGTTTTGACCTGCACAGTAAATGGAGATCCCTGTATGTGCATTCCATGCATAAGCACAGAAATCACATGCTGCCCCTCCCCCTGTGGTCGGTAGCTCACCAAGTATGAACCATTACCACGGTCTTGGACATCAGCCGTTGTATTCATACCATCCGCGCCATGAACAGTTACAGTCACCTGGTCACCACCCACATGCCTCTGGTCTGCAAGATGATTTTTTCCATGAACTAAGAAAGTGGCTAATTTACCTCGTAGTGCTTGTTTAAGTCCACTTCCAACAGCTAATGAATTTGAAGCATACCCCGATGAGGAAATGAAACCCATTGTGTTAATAGCCTGGTAGAGAGAATTATCAGGAGGAGTGAACACAATATTATCATCTTCATGGGGACTAAGATGGGCTTTAATTTGCCTCAATTCATTCATCTCGGCTATAACTTTGTCTCGTGTTTGGAGAAGTTCAAGGTGGTTGGCAGAGTCTACAGAGGAGCCAAGAGTATCTACTGTGTGTGTAAGCCTTGCAAGTGCAGTGCTCAGGTCATCAATTTGGTCCTGTAGAGTTTTACCTTTAACTTGACGGATTCTCTCAACTTTGTGTAACAACTTCCGTTCACGATCTTCTAAAGCTGATATATGGCGTCGTGTTGTTGTACGAACATCACTTGCAACAGCCTGAGCACGAAGGTCCACACGGTCAACCATACGTTTTGTCACACCAATGCTGTCCTCAATTGCACGGATACCAGTCCTAGCATCAGTCAATAGTTTCATTGTAACAGCGCGTGAACTTTCGGCAGCATTCTGCAGATATGTGAAGGCGTGTCCTCGGTGATCACGTAGGGTACACTCTCGGCAAATGGCAGCATTGCACAATTCACAGTAGAGTCGAACCACCTCTCCATCATGCAAGCTGCAATAAACAACAGAAGGAAGTGGAGAGGAGTGTGAAGGGATGGCCGGCGGAGGGGATGAGAGACTTAGTGGCGTAAGACAGTTATCTTCTGAAAAATGTGACCGAACTGATCCGGACCCATTGCCATTACCGCTACTGACATCTTCATTTGCCATTCGAACAATAAAGTGGTCCTTAGTGAGACGAACCCGCTGATGTGCACGGACACATGAATCACAGAGGGCTTCATTACAGTCCCGGCAGCGGGATGTGGCGGCCTGCCCATCATCGCAGCTTGCACACAGATAGAGGGGATTTCGATTGTTGCCACTCAGTTCCTTGTGCAGGATTGGTAGTGGAGGTAGTTGCTCACGATTGTTGACGTGTGGTGCAGAGGGACTGACCATGCTGGTTGGAGGTGGTGGGTTGGTGATATCATCATCTGTTGTCACCATTTCGAGAAGAGAAGGCAAGAAGAGTTGAGGATTAAGTGCATCAAGTGGCTGATCAAGGTTAAGCTCAGTGTGACAGGTCGGGCAGGCGAGTGTGGCGCCTACCAGGAGGGAGTCGAGACAAGGGCCACAGATGGCATGAAGACAAGGCAACACACGGGCCTCTTCCAAGCCTCCCAAACATAGTGGACACATTACTCCACTGTTGTTATTGCCTAAATGTAGCCTATCTCCAATGGACAAGCCACTGTTATTCATCGACACCGCCACACCCAGCCCACCCAACCCGCCCAGCCCGGCCGGCCCCAACCCATCCAGTCGCTCCCGCTCCTTAGCACTGCCCAGCCCACCTGGGTATGCACTCGCCATCCTGTGAAGAGAAAATCATCATTAAAATCCGTCCCATTTAATATTTCAACATACAGTGGAATTATACTTCCTTAAGTATTCATAATCAATGACAATACACATATAAATATAATATCAAAACAAGTAATTCATATACAGTATCTTGGAGATATCAGTTACTAAATATTCTTTGCACTGCAACAAATCTATGTAAACACAGTACAAAAACTAAATTTTAAGAACATTTATGTAATTCCTAATGCACTTATGATGAGGGAGAGGTTTGTTAGTCAGTTCAATAACCTTTCAAAATTCTGGAAACACAGATAGCTCGTGCCCTGCAGGAGAAATATGTGTTTAAGGCGTAATGCCGCACCAATTTATGGCAAAGCTGAAGCAAATTAGCAGAAATTTTTAAATTATTTTAGATATGAAAAGAAACAAAAAGCAAAGATAGAAAATATACACAAGGTAGATGCAATACATACACATTGTTTCTGCAATATGTACTGTACAAGTCGTATGAAAACCAAGGTCAAAGGACAAAATGTATTCAATAAAGTTATGACCTGACCTTTAATGTTGTCATGGAAGACCTGAACTACAGGGAATTACCTCACATAAATGACTAAAAACAAAAAGTCAGTCAAAAGACATCTATATCCCATGACCTTTTTATCTTCAATGAAACCTATAAATGAAATTAAATGCCAGATCAAAGGTCAATCCCACACCTTGTAAAACCACCAACCCAAAATCTTTAACACAAGCATCAACATTGACCAAGCCAGTGTGTGGATAGTGCCAATTTTCAGCTGATGACCTGACCTAGCTTGGAGAAAGACGTGCCCCTAAGTGCTCGTGTTAGTGACCATAGGAAATGGCCACCGTGGAACGTTGTGCTGTGAGGGAAGAGGGACGGTGTGTGAGGAAAGACGAGCCCTGGCCACTCTGTTAAGTCAGCTGCAGCAGTTGAGGAGAGAGATAGACGTTTTAAAGGGGGAGAACGAAGCCCTCAGGACTGAACTCCTTCAGGTAGGTGTCCTGCGTGTGGAGAGTGGTTGTTTCCAAGGGGACTAGGGTCAGACTCAGGAAAGCTGACCAGGGTGTGGAGTACAGTAACCCCTACCAAGTGTTGGAGGAAGCTGGCGAGGAAGACAAGAGGCAGGACGGTGTGGTGCCTGGAGAGTAAGGGGCAGTTGTTCAAACCCTGCCCAGTGGTAAGGTCTTGGTAGTTGGTGACAGCCAGGTGAGGTTCTTAGATAGGGCATTTTGTGTAAGAGATAGGAAATGTAGGACTAGGGTGTGTTTTCCTGGGCCTGGGATAGGGCATGTAGTTGAGAGGATAGATAGGGTTTTGTCAGGGGAGGGTACCAAGCCAATAGTGTGTCTTAGTGTAGGAGGTAACGACATAGTAAAGGTTGGGAGTGAGGAACTTTTCAAGAGGTATAGGGAGGCGCTAGGGAAGGTTAGAGATAGGGGAGGGATCCCGATAGTATGTGGTGTCTTGCCTAGAAGAAGAGTTGGTGGTGAATGGCTGTCCAGGGCAATTGCTATAAATTGCCGATTGGAAAAACATTGTGCAAGCAATGGTAGGGCATTCATTGAGAACTGGCAACCGTTCTATGGCAACGACTACCTGTACAGTCGTGACGGAGTACACTTGTCTCGCGCGGGGGTAAAGACGTTGTCTGCATCCCAGGAGCATGAAATTGTCACTTCAAAGGGGGGGGCGTTCACCAGTAGAGAGGTCATGGTAAGTGGGAGTAAAAATACAAGCAGGTCCTGTGGAGTAAAATTGGTTACTCAGGACAAGGGGTAAAACAGGACCAGGGAAGGGTAGGTTTAAATATATATCATACAAACAGTAGGAGCATTAGAAATAAAATAGACTTGCTGAGAGCGGTTGTATGTACCGAGAATGTAGACGTCATAGCAATCACCGAAACTTGGATGAATCTGGCGAGCAAGAACTTTATCAGAGTACCACATAGAAGGGTACAACCTTTTTCACAAGGACAGGGAAGGTAGGAAGGGGGGAGGGGTCACACTCTTCGTCAGGGATACATTAAAATGTTGTATTAATAATTCAATAAAAGGTGAAATAGGAACAGGAACAGAGTCTGTATGGATAGAAATTGCGGAAGGAAGCGAAAAACTAATTATGGGAGTGATTTACAGCCCAAGTCTTGGGAAAGCAGCAGCTCAGCCCATATGGCAGGAAATGAGTAGGGCAGCAAAATATAACAACCTGTGCATTATGGGGGATTTTAACTTCAGAAATATTGACTGGGACAAGATTGTAGGTGACTATGAATCGGAAGACTTCCTAGACACAGTACAGGACATTTTTTAAAACAAGTAATTACAGAACCTACTAGAGGTGACAATATATTAGACCTAGTATTAACAAATAAAAGAAAATATTATCAGAGATATCACAATAGGGGAAGAACTAGGGAACAGTGATCACAGCGAAATCAGGTTCACCCTAAATTGGGAAACGAAAAACAATGACAATAAGAGTACAGAGGTCTTATTGCAACTATATCTTGCGCTAGTCAGGCTGCACCTCGATTATGCGGTTCAGTTCTGGTGCCCTTATTATAGAATGGATACCATTTACTGGAGTCGGTGCAACGAAGAATGACAAAAATGATTCCGGGACTTAGAAACCTTCCACATCAAGATAGATTAAAGAAGCTAAACTTGCATTCCCTAGAACGATGAAGTGTGGGGAGATATGGTATTAGTATTTAAGTGGGTGAAAGGAATCAATAAAGAAGATATAGATAAAGTTCTTATAATATCCGAGCAGGAAAGGACTCGTAGCAACGGATTTGAGTTGGATAAGTTTAGGTTTAGGAGGGAGATAGGAAGGAACTGGTTCACAAATAGGGTGGTGGACGAGTGGAACAAGCTTAGCAACTTTGTAGTAGGTGCTGGAACGCTGGAAAGTTTTAAAGGAGGCTAGATAGATTCATGGATGATAGAGAGGTAGTAACTCTCGACAGGAGCTGCCATGCACAGGCCAACCGGCCTATTGCAGACTCCTTATTTTCTTATGTTCTTATTTACTGTGTTACCTAGAGGTATGTGGAACCAACGTCAGTGGGGTAACCGGGGCCCCAGCCAATCAAACTCCTTCCCGCCCAGGATGATGACCCCCCACTCACATCCGGCAAACAACGCATACCTGAACCATAGAAAAAATTAATCACCTTTATTGTTATGTAAAGTTAACATTGCACAATACCCATGAACTTTAAAAACATATGAATTACTGAATGATTAAAATACAGTACTCGAGAACTTACTGTACGAGTCATAACCACATGCACCAACTAACCTATGGGGGTAAACTCCACCTATATTATCCACTCCAGAGGTTAAATGACTGACAGCTAGATGTAAACTGAGTCACTCCATCTCCTTGGCAAATTCACCCTACAGATTTTGGATCACCTGAAGAATATCCATCTCCGCTTTTAACACTATTTGGGGAGGTGGTGGTGGTTAGGTCAGCATAAGGGTAATTAATCTTTTGGTGAAATAAAGCTGGGGGTGGAGATTCCAGCTGATCCCAGGTTTGTTTTTCATTCCAACTCGTTGTAATCAGAAGTAAAACTTATTGTACAAAAAATGACAAAAAGAATAGTTGTCAAGTTAATTTAATGATGTGGTGACAAAACTAACTTAATTTACAAGCAATCAACTTCTACTCATTTAAGGTAATAAAGTTCTTCATTTAAGCAACTTATTAAAGTTACATTCATGGTCACTTGCAAAAGGCACATATTTAATGGTGCCACTTACAAATGATAGGTATTTAATGGGGCCACTTGCAAATGATAGGTATTTAATGGGGTCACTTGCAAATGGCAGATATTTAATGGTGCCACTTACAAATGATAGGTATTTAATGGGGCCACTTGCAAATGGCAGATATTTAATGGTGCCACTTACAAATGATAGGCATTTAATGGGGCCACTTACAAATGATAGGCATTTAATGGTGCCACTTACAAATGATAGGTATTTAATGGGGCCACTTACAAATAATAGGTATTTAATGGGGCCACTTACAAATGATAGGCATTTAATGGTGCCACTTACAAATGATAGGTATTTAATGGGGCCACTTACAAATGATAGGTATTTAATGGGGCCATTTACAAATGATAGGCATTTAATGGTGCCACTTACAAATGATAGGTAATTAATGGTGTCACTTACACATGATAGGAATTTAATGGTGCCACTTACAAATGATAGGAATTTAATGGTGCCACTTACAAATGATAGGAATTTAATGGTGCCACTTACAACCAGCTAACCTGAACACTGCCCCCTTACCGATACTTAAGAGCCTGTACTTGTAAGACACCCCCCCCCCCACCTCATCAACACTAAGGTCCCAGCACACCGACTTAAAAGTAAATGGAGGTTACGTAGACATGACGGACCGCTCAAGGGTAATGTGGATACAGTACACAGACGACTGTGCTTGTTTTGGTATAATGTACACGGAGGTAGCAGGACCGGCCTGGCACTCGACCATCTTCACTTTCCCAAGTAGGTGGGTGAAATGAGGGGTGCCCTGGGCGCGAACCAGCTACCCAAAGAACTGGAGGCGGGTCCGACTAATTACCCAAATGTAGCCGGAATGAAGTCAAATAACGGTCCTAGATGAATAAATCGGACTGCCAATCACTTCTCGACTAGTATTTGGTGTCACAAAGTCACAAAAAAATTGTAAACTTAATTTAATCTGAGTTAATAGATCGAGTGCATGTACCTAACCTAACCTCGACTAGTATTTGGTGTCACGAAGTCACAAAAAATTGGTAAACTTAATTTAATCTGAGTTAATAGATCAAGTGCATGTACCTAACCTAACAACACAAATCAGATTAAATTAAGTTAACCATTTTTTTTTTACTTTATGACACCAAATACTAGTCGAGAAGTGATTAGCAGTCCGATTTATTCATGTAGGACCATTATTTGACTTCATTGCG